TATACTAGACACGATCACATGCATTATTCCTACACAGGATTTGCAAGATATTGTTCCTAGCATTTGTATGAAAAACCTCATGCGTGTCATGTAAGCAGTAATTTCTGGTGATAACAATGGTGTGACAGGCCTACACAACTCCTATCCACGTGTAACAGCCGCTTTGAAAGTTTTGCTCGAACTAGTATATCTTTAAGGATCTGCCCCTTTTGTATGGTACGACAGGGGGTTTCTTTGAATATTTCGCTTAGCAATAATCTTGTGCTTTTAGGAGGACATTTCACCAGATTAGAGCCGTTAGAGGTCGTAGGTCTGTTTGGTTTCCGCTGTTATCTGCGTATATCTCTGTTTTTTTGTCACGTGCTAGTTCTTTCTGGCTCATTTGTGCTGCAAGATATGTTTTAAGCTCTCTAAATATTAGCTCTAGAGGGACAAAGTTTGAATGATTCCGTGAACATGTTGGTTACTTGCATTTTGTATTATTACGCCGGGCCCGGCTGTTTGATTAACTGTTGCTAGTTATGCTGCCTCTCATCACGGGAGTCATATTTATCTTTGTCTGGCTTCGCCAGAGATAGCTGTAGCTTTCATTGTGGAAAGCTGTAAGTCTGTCTTAGAGAGACGTTCTTATGTTTCTTGCATCAATGTCATCTAGCTTTTTGTTCTTACGGTTTGTTCGTTCTGGCACTGCAAATGTAGGTGTTCACGTGCAAGTCTGTAGACTGTTTTGCGTGTTGTTTATGATATTGTGTAGTTTTGTTCAGGCACTGAACGTGCGCGACCACAACTTGAGCATTGGCGTGTACAGGTTTTGTCGCGTAGTCTTTGGGTTGAACGCCTCTCCATTTCTGCTTAATGGGACTGTAAGACACCATTTAGCTACCTTTGCCAAGGGGTACCCTGAATTTGTGAAAAGAACGTTGGAAAGTTTTTACCCAGGCAGTGAGGCCCGGGTTTAAATTTCGGCTCCGTTTTTTTTCCTTTTCCTCGTTCAGTTACAAATCGCCGTCTGGTATGGACGCCCGTTCTGGTCAAAATTGTAGTAATAAAATTGCCCCACAAGTCAGTTTTTTCAGTCACTGTTTTACTTTTTATGAGGTTGCTGTGTATTTTCATCGGCGGTACAAATTTTTTTTTTGAGGTGGTTGCTTATTTTTTTAGCAGCCTGAATTATTTTAATTTAGTCTGGTTAAATTTTTTGTGGGTTCTACGAATGAATTTTTTCACTCGTACTGCAAATTATTTTTGACTGGTACTGTGAATTATTTCTTACTTGTGGTACTGAGAATTATTTTTTCATTGGCGCTGACAATTATTTTTCAAGGTATCGTGAATTGATTATTTGGCCTACAATACATTGCGGGCTTGCGATTTGAGGTGGACTGGCTCGAGTACTTTCCCGCTCGATTTCTTCGCGCCATCTTTGTGGTTTCATCTTTTAATTGTATC